AGAAAATAACACATTCAATTATTGCCGTGGGAAGGTGACTTTGTTTAGATTTTTGACTGAGTCCCACAGAATAGGGCTTCACTTGCGATAGTTGGTGATCAACTCCTGTGTTGCTAACAGAACAGAGGAAAAATAATCCCAAAGCAGATCACAAGATAATTTGGTCAGATACTTATATGCCAGTTCACCAATGTCTCCTACACAACAGATCTATAGTAGTCAACCCTTGTTACCTATTTCCCAGTGAATTATATTAGCCCCAGGATCTGACTAACTTTCCTAACTATCTCACAAAACTCCAACATTTATGACAGACTATACAGACCGAGTGCACCTGGAACCTGAAAAGCAGTATGAAACCATTAATTACACACAAGTACAGTTCTACAATCTTAGAATATCAGGGTTGGAAGGGACCTCAGGAGGTATCTAGTCCAACCCCCTGCTCAAAACAGGACCAAACCCCAGACAGATTTTTGCCCTAGATCCCTAAATGGCCCCCTCAAAGATTGAACTCATGACTCTGGGTTTAGGAGGCCAATGCTCAAACCACTGAGCTCTCCCTCTTAGTTAACAAAAGTAACTTGTTCAGTTTTAAAGTTACTTTACAACAATCTTGACTGACACCTGTTACAAAACAAAGACACACATGAAGTTTGTGACAATCTCCACAGTAGACACACAAGCACTTACATTTCCTTGCTAATTAGGTACTCAGTTTCAGGAATGAATCAATTCCCTGATATGAGTTATCACCTGAGAGGAAGTCTGTGTGTTGCTTATCATGAGATCTTGTTCATCCATCAGCTTTCAGCTCAGTTATCATTCAGAGCAGGAGCTGACACTGCAAAAACTGGTGGAGTGACGGACAGACACAACTATAGTCTTTTCCCAGTGTGCTCATGGGCAACCCAAATTGCTGGAAAATAAAAAGAGACATTTGAAGGTTCCTATCCAAGATAAATATTGTAGGTGTCACCAGGAGGACTCAAAGGTGGCTGGCCGAGGACCTCAATCTTCTCTCTTCCAGGTGTCTTCAGCTTTGAGAAAGCAATGTACTGAAGGAGATGGACCATTTTATCCGATTTCTGCTGGGTGATCCAACTTGACTCCTCTTCTTGACGGTGCTGGCTTGGACAAATCAGATGGTGACCTATACTTCTGAAGATTCAAAAGGTCCAACCAAAAGGAGAGTTGTCCTCTCTCACCATCCCATCAGGGAATGAGACATCAATTTTTGAGTTCTTGTAAGTTATGCTTACTCAATTTTCAGTTTCTCCATCAACACTCCGCTAGCTGCTGAAATGTCCAGTTTAAAGTTAATATAATTTATACAAAGTTCCTCCATATTCTTCACTGTTTTTTAAACTTGTTTCGACAGTTCATTATACAATGCAGAGTCCCTTCAAGAACTGTTGTGCTCCAACAAGCCAGAACAGCTGGAGCGGTTCTCCTTGTTTTAATTGCAATGGTGGGACCTTGGTAGGGATGGCTTGCCAATTTTGGTTGGACGTATTCCTGGAAGTTTCATCATATGACATAATCTTTAATTAAAGATTAATCTTTAATTCCTGAAGACTCCAGAACAATCCTGGAGGGTTGCCAACCCTGACTTGGCTGAGTTTGTGGATTATTAACCAAACAATTACATTTCTAATTATTCTACTCTATGGTCAATTGTCCATATAAACACACTATTTGGTTTCAATTCCTTTTATTTAGTACCCCGTTCAGCACAGGTGTATTCCACTAACTTGATAGCATAAGCATGCTTGACTGCAAACATTAGCCTTACTTCTTCACTTTATCACTTAACCTAAAAGAAATCAGTATGAATGCAACCCCTTTCTTTCCTAACAGGACTGTTCATAAGGAAAACCCTCTCTTGAAAGTTTGTATATTTTGCCCAAAGCTGTACCACTTACAATTGACTTCCCTTTCATATGCATTTTAATTATAATATTGGATTCCATCATGTTCCCTATTTTACTACTGTATCTGGAACATCATATAACATCAATGTTCGATATTAATTTATCAGGACTTTTAATTCATTTACTTTTTGACAGCCAGCGATAAAGGGGAAGTCGCATTCATTACACCAGCGGTACGCTCTTGCAAAAGGCTGAAGCAACTCTGAGCTTCCTTTTGCAGAAATCTAGCCATTAGATCTCAGATTTTTATTCTTTTAGCCCTCCGTTCTATCTTTTCTACAAGGCTGGGTAATTCTTAAATAGTAATAACTGATCATTTCCGAGCCCCCAGTTACTACACAATATAGCACTACCGTTGAGAATTTCAGTGCACTAAACTCACACAGACCAATATTTAAAAGGAGAGCTTCTGATTTGTCACTGTTTTCTGCCTCCTTGCGAGGGCTTCATCTAGAAGGGGTGAGCACGGAGTTCAGTGGGAACTACAGGTATACAGCTCGCTCTTATCAGGATCAGGCCCTTGCTGAAGTTGCTAATCTGCAGTCTTCCTTTGCCTCTCCTCTGATTGATTGTTTCGAAATCGTGCATGGACGCATGCAGTGGGAGGGAGGGTAGCAGCAGCAGCCTCGCTCTGTATTTGCATACAGAAATCAGGCACAGCAGCAATCCCATTATTTAAGGATGTCCTGACAAGTCATGCCAATGTAAGGAGGAAGGATGGGCACACATGATCTACTGTCCCAACGTAAGATACAGCATGTGCAATTCCTTCAATAGTCCAGAAAATCTGGAGAGGGATTGTGGCTCCCAAGCACTTCCTGGATCTCCCTGAGGGGCAATGCCCCCCCGCTTCCAGGTGGGACTGTTTAAATCACACCATATGGCCTGATATTATTTTATTAATTTTATTGGGGTTATTAGCTGGGATCCTGATCTGCTCCCACTGAGATCAATCACTAAACTCCTGTTGGCCCAGGACTGGGCCCCTAGCCCTTTTTTCAGCTGACATCACCATATCAGCCGACCAATAAACTAAGATGACCCTAAAGCATGCAGTGTGTAGCAGAGACACTACCCTTCTCCGTTCCCTTCCTAACCAGTGACAACAGGCGCCCGGGAATTTGCACTGAAAAGAACCCCTCAAACACAGAAACTGGCCCAACATTTTTCCAACCTGCAAAGAAGTTTGGTTTCACCTCAGAAACAGGCAGGAATCCAAATCAGCTCTTGTTTTGGGCCGGATCCTGGGAGTGGTTGCCTGAGCACCTCCAGATGGGCACAACTCACCCTGCACACTCCCACCAAAGTTAGAAATCACTCAGCATTTCTCAGGCTCAAACCCTTTCTCAGGCTACGTCTTCACTACCCTCCTGAATCGGCGGGTAAAAATCGATCTCTCGGGGATCGAATTATCGCGTCTCGTCAGGACGCAACAATCAGTCCCCGAATCGACGCTTGTACTCCACCAGCGCAGATAGGAGTAAGCGCCGTCGACGGGGGAGCCGCGGAGGTCGATTTGCCGCCGTCCTCACAGCGGGGTAAGTCGGCTCGGATATGTCGAATTCAGCTACGCTATTCACATAGCTGAATTTGCATATCTTAAATCGACCCCCCCCCCATAGTGAAGACGTAGCCTCAGAGTCACTTTACCTGTCCCTAAACAATCAAAGGACACTTGCCCCCCTCCTTCCTAGAGTTGCATGATGTGACTATCCTCAATTAAATTAGTGATAGGTTTCAGAGTAGCAGCCGTGTTAGTCTGTATCTGCAAAAAGAACAGGAGTACTTGTGGCACCTTAGAGACTAACAAATTTATTTGAGCATAAGCTTTCGTGGGCTACAGCCCACTTCATCAGATGCATAGAATAGAACATATAGTAAGAAGATATATATACATACAGAACATGAAAAGGTGGAAGTAGCCCTACCAACTCTAAGAGGCTGATTAATTAAGAGGAGCTATTATCAGCAGGAGAAAAAAAACTTTTGTAGTGATAATCAAGATGGCCCATTCCAGACACTTGACAAGAAGGTACGAGGATACTTAACATGGGGAAATAGATTCAATTTGTGTAATGACCCAGCCACTCCCTATGCCATGTACATTGGCCAAACCGGACAGTCTCTAAGCAAAAGAATAAATGAACACAAATCTGACATCAGGAATCATAACATTCAAAAACCAGTAGGAGAACACTTCAACCTCTCTGGTCACTCTAACAGATTTAAAGGTAGCAATTTTGCAACAGAAAAGCTTCAAAAACAGACTCCAATGAGAAACTGCTGAACTAGAATTAATTTGCAAACTAGATACCATTAACTTGGGCTTGAATAGAGACTGGGAGTGGCTGGGTCATTACACAAATTGAATCTATTTCCCCATGTTAAGTATCCTCACATCTTCTTGTCAACTGTCCGGAATGGGCTATCTTGATTATCACTACAAAAGTTTTTTTTTCTCCTGCTGATAATAGCTCATCTTAATTAATTAGCCTCTTAGAGTTGGTAGGGCAACTTCCACCTTTTCATGTTCTCTGTATGTATAAATATCTTCTCACTGTATGTTCCATTCTATGCACCTGATGAAGTGGGCTGTAGCCCACGAAAGCTTCTGCTCAAATAAATCTGTTAGTCTTTAAGGTGCCACAAGTACTCCTGTTCTTTTTAATTAAATTTGTATACTCTGTAATTTTTGAGTACAGTATATTATTTCTGTGCTGATCTCTCTCATCTCTCACTTTCACTCCCATTGGTTTCATGTTCCCTTTTGCAGGGTGGAAAAGCTTTTAATCTGATCCATTTTAATTTATCCTGGTTCCACCCCCTGGGACTTTCCTAACTTCCTTCTGTAAAGGGAGGAAAAACTGACACAAGCATAGTACGTGCACCTCTCCAAGCTTAGCAAAAGTGGTGCTCTGTCTGTCTCCCTGAACTGGGTTTCTATGTAGGCGGTGCATTCCATGGGAGGGAGGGTGCATGTGTGTGTAGGGGGGGAGAGCCATCCCACACTCAAGTGAGCTCTTATTTAATGGGGGTCTCCATGCAGGACAGCAAGCAGAAGAGATTTTCCTCCTCCCAGATTCGATTCAGAGGGAGAGGTGCACAAGCCAGTCAAAGGCATGCCACACATTGCTGAAATATCCCTGGAGGAAGCAGTTCATATGACCAATCAAGAATCCGGAATGGGTGTCAGGGAGGATCTGAAGAAAATACGCTGTGCTGTGGTTTTTTGCTTGCTGTCTGTTCTAGTCCTGGCATTACCCACAGCCTATCTGCTGGTTGGAAATCTCAGAGCCCATAAATCTGGCCCGGCTCAGGTAAGAAAGTGCCATTTCTTGGTGATCTTAAGGAAAGGTTAAGAAAAAGAGAAGAGAGTTTCTTTAAATATTTGGGTTTGGAGAAAGTTTGTGGCTTCTTGCTTTATGGATTTGCAATTTTAAGGAAGAATGTTAAACAAACGTTCTGTTTCTTTCTTGCTTGCTTTTTCTTTCTTTCATGCACACAGTGAGGGAGGAGGAGGAAATGTTTTTTAATAGGCAGATTTTTCTCCATTTCTCTTCCTTGAGTTGAATAGGGTCAGAAGAGCAGGAACAATATTAAATCCTAACTGGCAGACTAAAGAAAACTCTATGGTCCAGCTCCTCAGCTAGTGTAAATTGCTGGTCGTGCCACTGAATTCAGTTGGGGATCTGGCCTACCATCTCCGTTCCCCCTTTTTCTGGTTCAAGCTGAGAGCTCTCTCGTCTCTCATTGCAGGCTGAAAGGACCCTATTTCACCAGCCACCTGCTAAATGTCATTCCTGTGTCCATCCCTCTATGTGTGGGTTGTGTTTGTGTCAAATACACACACACACACACACACATCTATGGGTATCAGATGGGTGAGAACTACCCATTTCAGCTCCAGAGTCGCATGTGAATTCAGATTTCCCTGAGATTTGGGATGCTTACATATGAGGGTCCAGTCTGGGCTAATTATTGAGAGTGACCCTAGTCCCAACATTCAAATCCTCATCTAAATCCTGATCAAAAGTTTTCCAATGTTCAGGAGCATTGGATTCAGGGGACAGTTTCAGGTCTATCTCTAATAAACAGCTGGACATCTATCTCCACATGCATACCTCTGTAGGTATTTGTCTTTAGACCCTAGGCTGCTGGCATCCACAGCAGCTTTTTAAGCAGGTGCATATTCCCCCTGATGTCAATGGGATTACCCACCTGCTTAAAGGTAAGCAGATGTCTGATTGTTTGCAGGAGCGAGACCTTAATGAATTTCAGCTTTATGCTTGAAATTCACTCTCTGCTAATTTGTATGAACAAAGTTTTAATTGAATGACTGCTATGAACAACAATGATCAAGAGGCACTAATATGCTGAATACGAGCCTTATTTCTATTCTGGCAAACTTTTTGCCACTAGGTTTTTACACTCTTTGACATGCAGTTGTGTAGATATATGTACAAACACACACACAGTGAAATCAGAGCTAGGGGCTTATTTCTAATACATACAGTTCTTGGTCAAAGACTTTATAATCTCTCCAGGGTGTCAAACACAATATTAGTTCTAGACCCTCTTTACTTACTGTGTTTGCTGGTTGCTTAGATGAATGCTTAAGGCAGATTTCCTATTTATATCCACATCTGTACAATGTGCGTGAGTGCATGTTTGTATACGGAGAAGCAGTTTTATACTGCTTAAAAACACGCAACTCTTAAATCAGCAGTTCTCTTCCCGGCTTTCACTTTGACTCACTATGTGGCCTCGTGACTTTGGCAAGTCACTGAACCTCTCAATGCCTCTCACTGTCTGCTGGAGTGGTTTCTATAGTGCCCATTACTGTAATAATTACTTAGCACAACATTACTTGGCACGACACCTTACACTGAATTCTGAATGGGTGGACTTCTGTATCTGGGCAGAGTTTACTGCTGACTTTAGTCCCTATAATGTCTGCCTATCAGTGCAGGGACTGTGTCTTTCTATATATTTGTACAGCACCTAGCACAATGGGGGTCCAGATCCTGGTTGGGGCCTCTACATGCTACCACAACTGAAATAATAAAATAATCTGTCAAATGAGATTAATACTTACCTGGCTCACAGGTGTGTTGTAAAGGTTAATGAAGTAATGCTGGTGAATGCCTCTGGGATCTTCAGATAGAAGGTGCTTTGTAAGCGTTAAGGATTGCTTCATTCTGGACAATATTATTATATATTATATTTATACATGTACATGATAGGAAATTAATACATGTCTCTTGATATTACTCTAAAAACTGGCTGTTATGATCAAATGAAAATCCCAGTAGGCAAAAGTAAAAAATCATCATAGCTGGAAACTTGTCATCTGTCTCTGCCAAGTGGAGTGGGCGGAACATACTTATCCTGCTAAATTATTTACTACACCCAATAAACCTTTCACTTACTCCACTGAGAACTGAGTCAGTCAGCAGTGACTAGCAGCCGTGAAATAGTTATGGGTGTGTTTGACTTTCCTTGAGAATTTTCTTCTCATGTCTCCAAAAACCAGTGCTCTGAACTGAATTTGGGCTCCTCGTATGTGCCTCATCCTGTAGCCATTACTCATAGGAGCAGCTCCTTTCATTCCAATTGGAATGCTATCAGACAAAGTCTTTTCTTTTCTAAACAATTTAAAAAAAACAACAACAGAAAAATCCCTTTTGATCTAATTAATTCCCATTGGTCTTTTAAAAAATTCAAATTGTGCTGGTTAAGGGCATCTTTTTGTCAGACCACTCTCCATCATAATTAGCAGTCCCAACTGAGAAGCAAAGGAGTGAAGGCTAAATGGTGGTTGGATCTCTTAGAAGGGAGTGAGAGCCCCTGCCTACCCCCAACCACTTACAGTTCTGCACAGGTTCACTGGACCTTGGGTCTGGGCATGTAGGTGTGTTCCCACTGATTGAACAGGTAGGAATCAGCAGTGGCCGCATAATTGCTTGCTGCCCTCTCAAGCAGATTGGTGATGAGGAGACCAGTGGAGAGGACAATGGGAAGAGCCTGCTCTCTGCTCCACAACAGTGCTGGGTTGCTCGGCTGAGCTGGCCTGAGGGCGTGCGTGCATTTTTTGCCATGTTATAAGCTAGCAGTAACTCTTTTCCCTCGGGAGCTAGAGGGAAGTGCGTGAGGGAGTTGTGCCACAAAGGAGTGTCTCTCCTAGGTCTTCTGCAGGGCTGGTGCAGATTACATGCCACCCCTCGCGCATGCATGTGCCTAAAGTCATATTCCAGCCCGAGACAAGCTTAGACTGTTGCCTGATCTTTAGAGGCAGCCCTTCTGGGATAGAGCACATGATAGGGACAACATGGGCAAACCGGAAATTCTGCTTTCCTCATCGTATTGCACCTGGTCTGTGTAGAACTATGGGGTTCATGCTCCAGAGCTTCCTGCCTGCCTTCCACCATCAATACCCACCCGCTTTTCAAAATAACAGATACTTCTTTTGTGCTCTAATTCTGAAACAACTGTACCACTGTCCCTTAGCGGTGTGGTGGCTTCAACGACACATTTGTTTCCCTGGCCAAATTCCATTTCATTGAGTTTATTTAGAATATAACTTGAGCAGTTCCTGCCCTAGAGCGGACCGTAGTGGAGTGACACAGCAGCTAGGAATGTGTAGGTTGCTGCCTTATCAGTCTTCTCAGTTAATCATCTGTAAATGGGTAGCAAAGTCTTCATTGCTGTTCTTTGCACTTAACTCCCATTGATGGCATTGAGATTTGGACAGGTGGGTCAAAGGCGTCCTGAGGCAGGCAGAATCACGTTTAGAGGGAAATTCACCCAAATGGAGAAGGGACAAGGGTCTGCAGCCCACTTTGAACTCAAGTGGCGACTGTGGGAGTGGGCTGCAGCCGTGCAGACGGGCCTCCAAAGCCGCCAGCTGTGGCATGGATCTCTCCATGCCAGATCTGCACTGGCCAGCAGGGAGGCCAGTGATGAGGGTCAAAAGAGGAGCCGAAAGGAACCACATTTATGCAAAGCCAATGGCCTCAACATACCGTGCAAGTGGTCGAGGGAGGCTGAATCAGCTACCCAGTACCCCAGTACATAGGCTGGAGGAACGGCTGTGGGTGGGCTGAGGAGAAGCCTCACATCCTGGCCCCAGGTGTGTGGTTTTCACCTCCCAAACTTTGCCTGCATTATCACCACTGCCCAACTGGATAGTAATGACTCCAGCTTTACGCAGGTATCATGCATTTCCCTTGGGGCCCGATCCAACTCCCATGAAAGTCAGTGAGTCTATTGATTGGCTTACATGGGAGTCGGATCAGGCCCTTACAGCACAGGACAAGCTTAGGCAATATTCCATGCCTGGAAATGACACAAAATAAATTTGGTGCATATATTATATCAGGAAAAGGAGGTGGATGAGGCATTTCTAGAACAAATAAAAGAAATATCCAAAACATGAGATCTGGTAGCAATAGGGGACTTTAACAACCCGACAACTGTTGGAAAAGTAATACGGCAAAACACAAACTCTCCAGTAAGTTCTTGGCATGTATTGTGGACAATTTTTGTTCCGGACAGTGGAGGAAGTCACCAAAGGGACAGGTGTTTTAGACTGGATTCTGACTAACAGGGCGAAATGGGTAGCGAATCTGAAGATGGAAGGCAATTTGGGTGACAGTGACCATGAAGTGACAGATTTCGTGATTCTAAAGAAAGGAAGGAGTGAGCACAGCAGAATTAGGATAATGGACTTCAGAAAAAAACCAGACTTTAACAAACTCAGAGAACTGATAGGGAAGGTCCCATGGGAAGACAGTCTAGCAGAAAAAGAAGTTTAGGAGAGTTGTCAGTTTCTTAAGGAGACAATATTAAGGGCACAATTGCAAACTATTCCAATGTGAAGGAAAGATAGAACCATATTGGCCCCTCCCTATTCTTCCTATCAGGAGCATTTTAATGACCCCCAAATCAAAAATGAATCCTACAAAAAGTGGAAATACGGACAGTTGCTAAGAAGGCTTGCAAAAGAATAGCCCAAGCATATAGGAACAAAATCAGAAAGGCTAAGGCACAAAATGAGTTACACCTAGCAAAGGATATAAAAGGCAATAAGAGGAGGTTCTTTGAATACATTAGAAGCAAGAGATACCCAAAGGAACATTTAGGTCCTTTATTTAGAGGAGAAAGAGTGCTAATAACTGATGACATTGAGAAAGTTGAAAAGGTGTTTAATGCCCATTTTGCTTCAGTTTTCACTGAAAAGTTTAATGCTGACCAGATACTCAACAGAATTAATATTACCAGCAAGAGGGAAGGCATACAAAGCAAAATAGGGAAACAA